ATGGGGTAGATCTTGGCTTGTTCTGCCATTTAAAAAAGTGATCTTGGGCGTAAAAAGGTTGGAGACCACTGCGCTAAGAAGCCTGAACTAAAGGTGGCAAAGAGAAGCTTAAATATAAAATAACCTCAAACTAGAACTCTTACTGACTCTTCCCGTCATCTCTTTTTTGTACCGTCTTCCCCTCCTTGGTAATCTTTGGTGGGGCTTGCACAGATTCTCAGAGTGCTTAGCAAGGGAGAAGGCTCAAGCTGGCTACCAGCATACTAATAAAGTCCAAGAACACAGCATGGAAAAATATGTTAAGTACAAGAAAATGCTGTAGAATAGAGCTTGGAGTATCTCTGAAGTGGACTCAATATGGACAGCAGATGTGGCACTGGATGGTAATTTGGTACGATTAGCAGGAGGTGTTTCTTGCGAGTCTGGTAGTTTTGGATGTATCCTCTACCTTGGGGAGGACACCCCAGCTGTGATATCTGCCCTGGCAGCTAGAAAAAAAGAAGATTGACCAGCTGGCATGTGGAGGTAGGATAGGATTGGAAGTGCAGAGTGCTTTCATTTTCATGCAAGGCAGATTTCTTTGTATAACAAAAGTTAAACATATCCTGTCACTTCAAGCTTAGTCAGTGAACTCTAAACAAATTCACTAAATAATTTGGCAGGTGTTGTTAAAATTAGCAGTCTCTGGAGCAGAAAGTTATAGGGCTGTAGTATCAGGAACATTGCAGGTCAAGTTTAAGTACTTCACCATGACAGGACTGTGTGGAGAAACTTGCTTGGAATTTGCTCCCACTATGGCCTGACCCTGCAAATCCTTACTCCTGTGTTCATTCCTTACTCATATGAGTCGTCCCATTGTCACTATGAGACTATTTAAGTGAATAGGCACTACTCAAATTAGTCCCCTTGTCTGATTCTAGTTAGTAGTATGAGCCTGTACTGTTAATGAGAACCATATTCAGACATAGATATACAACAGAGCACAGTTTATACAGTATATGTAAAGAAAATGCCCATTCAATAAAAATCACATGCAAGTGCAAAGAATTAAGGTTTGAAAATGAAATAGTGACACATCGCTTTTCAATATTGTGATGTGACAAACTTATGATGAGATGTGATTAAATGCTAAGCTTTATTTCCACAATTTATTTTCTGTTTAATGTATTACATAAGTGATAAGAAAATCCAATCACATTTGTACAGCTATAAATACATGATTGATAATTTGCTTCTTGCCAAAGTTACTGAAGAAGTGTTCCTTCTACATGGCTTTCTCAAAAAAAAAAAAAAAAAAAAGGCGGGGGGGAGGGGAGAGGTCATCCTTAGGTGTTGGAATTATGATGTTAAAGAGAGTATACAGCCGGTCACTCTGTCATTAATGTAAGATTTGTACATAGTTAAATGCCCTTTTTTAAAGGTGAATGGTTTTGTGTGTTGGTTTTCAGTTTTTTTGTCTGTCTTTGAAATTTTGTTTTATAGTAACGAGGGGGGTGTATTCTGGTTATAATAAAAGCTGAAGCAAATCTTAGCCCATCACAAAAGAGAATACCTGATTTTTAAGATTTGGACCTGTTTGATTACCTCCTTTTTCATTTTTTATTTTAGTTTAGCTCTCTGTTACTAGATGAGGGCACAGTTGCCAAATTACAATAAAGTCTGAAAACAACAAGTGCTGGTGATCACATAAGGAACATGTTCTCATGAGATTTCCATCTAATTTTGCATACTATGTGTGTCCAGATAATTTTAGTAAGGTTTATATCAAAATCTGAATAGTCTCTGATTCATATGTCAGTGTCCATATTGTGTCAGGAGCTGAAAAGTGCACTTGTCCTAGACATATCCCCCTTCCTCCTGTTTTCTGTATCCACTAGACATAGGTTCAGGAGCAGAACTTCAATGGAATTGTGATAATTTACACTAGCTGAGGATCTGACCTGTTGTTTTTAAGGTTATAGGCTTCTGGGACTTGACCCTGGCAAAACATAGCATAACAGTGACATCATAGAGCGGGTAAAGAAAACAAAGAACCAGGCATCTATTTTTGAGGAAGGAATTAGGGATGTAAGTGACTAGCCAAGTCATTACTCAACTACTTGCTCCCTTCCCCCTTCCTGCTTCTGTATGAGGCAGCAATGGCAAGAAGCAGGAGCCAGCTTTGGTTCCCCCCAGCACGGTTTCCAGGGGAGGAGAGGCAGGGGACGCAGAGGCTGTAGCAGGGGACCTGGCATGAGCTGGGACTACTTCAGTCCTGGCTCATACTGGGTCCCTGACCGCTGCACCTCTGCTTTTTAAAAGGAGTAAGTGCAGCGGGGACGGGGACCCACCGCAAGCCAGGACTGAAGCAGTCTGGGTTTGTGCCAGGTTCCCCCACAGTGGCTCTGCTTTTTATAAATGTAGTAAGAGGCTCCTACTACTTTTAAACTGCAGAGCCGCAGTAGTGGTAGCGAGAACCCCCACACTCATTTATTGGTGAATTGAGTAGTCAGTGGAATTGCCATTGCCTACTCGATTAGCTAATTAAACACTAAACATCCCTAGAACGAATTAGGGATGTAATAATGTAGTCGATTAAATGATTAATAGATAAGTAGATGCTTACCAGTTAATGCTATTGATGACATGCAAGCTCCACACTCCTTCCCCAAGACTCTGCAAGTACATTTTTTAGCAGGCTGACCAACAGGCTGGCTCAGTCCAAGCTTGTGCTGAGTCCTGGCAGCAACCCTGCTGCAGCTCTGCACTATTAGGGAATTGCGGGATTGATGCTGGGACTCAGTGCGTGCTGGGACTGAGCCAGCCTGCCCGGGTGCCAGCTTCCCAATTTCCTATTAATGCAGAGCCACAGCAGAGTCAACGCTGGGACCCAGCGTGAGCCAGGACTGAGTGCTTTCACTGCTAACCCTTTTTGATTTTTGTCATCTTAACATCCTTAGAAGGAAAAATGGCAGCACCCTGAATGGGAAAATGAATGCTAGCACCGCAACCACCTATGTATGAATAAAAGGCATTAGGATACAAGCAGGGCCAAGTGCATGCGCTGATCAAAAACAAGGGGTGTCAAAGTGGTTAATCACTTGACTGGTGAAAAAGCTGCATTTTTTAAACTCTGGTTTGGAAGATTATTGCTATGTACAAAAGAATTGGTTTCTCATAGATAAATTTATTTTGTGATGTGATTCCCTTTAAATCTCCCTGCCCTCACCAGCTATATTTCAGTATCCTTTGTCTAAAAAACTTGATGTCTGTGCTGACGAGTCCACAACAGTTTTTAATCTGTAGCTTAAAATTGCTTTAACATGCAGATTCTGGCTTGGAAATGCTACATTGGAAGTAAGAGTTTGAAGAGTTGGCAAAGATGTAGCAATATTTCCCTTTGGCAGACACCTTTTGCTTCTTGACTTGGAAATATGATTATACACTCTGGCTACGTCTACACTGGCATGATTTTCCGGAAATGCTTTTAACGGAAAAGTTTTCCATTAGAAGCATTTTCGGAAAAGAGCGTCTAGATTGGCAGGACTCTTTTCCGCAAAAGCACTTTTTGTGGAAAAGCGTCCGTGGCCAATCTAGACACGCTTTTCCGCAAAAAAGCCCCGATCACTATTTTCGTGATCGGGGCTTTTTTGCGGAAAACAAATCTCTGCTGTCTACACTGGCCCTTTTGCTCAAAAGTCTTTTGGAAAAAGTCTTTTGCCCGAATGGGAGCAGCATAGTATTTCCGCAAAAGCACTAACAATCTTACATGAGATCGTCAGTGCTTTTGCGGAAATTCAGGTGGCCAGTGTAGACAGCTGGCAAGTTTTTCCACAAAAGCAAATGATTTTGCGGAAAAACTTGCCAGTCTAGACACAGCCTCTATGTAGTTGACCTAAAACTTTCAAATATTCTCTTAAGCTAGTGAATCTTTCACACAAATACAGCGTTGCCACTGTAAAATTATTGTAGCCTCAAGAAGCAAAGTAAATAGTCTTGGATTCCTGACCACCCATTTTGATTTAGAACTCCATTGGAGTAAATCCCTGAAGCTGCTTTTAAAGTTCTAAAATCTTTATTTTCACTTGACAAAGTTTGTTTGAAAACTTTGTAGTTTGTTTGAAAATATAGTAGTTAATGCTCTTAACTCCTCAGCCCAAAAATGGTGCCAAAATACGTTTTTAAATCCTGTAAACCTTTTATGGCTTTGAAGTTGCTACAGGGATCAGTAGAAGAGTAGAACCATCATAGAAACTTTGAATGTGTGGTAAGATTTTGGTTAGTCTGTGATGAAGTTACTGCAAGGAGTCAGGGCTCTACCTCTATTTCACATTCGCCTAAAATTGAAGGTTGAGAGGTTTATGTGTAAAAAGTGTGAAATTCCCCCTTTGGAAAATGTCCAGGCAAGAGTCTCCCTGATACTGCAATCCCATGCGAAGTCACAGGTAGAAGCATCTACATAGGAACTCATGCAAACCAGGTATGTGCCACAGCAGCTATCTCTGTGCCACATCCAAATTGGTTGATATAGAAGGAACCAATGGGAGTTACACAGGGAGATATTCCAGAATAGCTATTACTGGTCGACTCTGCATGTGTATGTTTTCATCCTAAAATAAGAATTCCTTGTTCCAGGTTGACTAATCCACTATGGTAGTGGAGTAAACTAATACTGGATAAAGCACTTCTATTCAGGAATAAAAGCATTCACAAGTGCTATTCAGGCATAGTTCATACCTCTAAATTCATACCTACCCTGTTCTAGATTAATTTTTTTATGTAAATAAACAATGGCAGAATTGGGGCTTTATAATCTAAACTCTTCTGGCAGAGACTGTCCTTAATTTTGTAAATTGTGAAGCACCACATATCTTAATGGGGCTTAACAGTTACACACGTAAAATTATACATTAGGGCATCAATCTGTATAAGTAAATATTGCAGATCTGTACTACCAAGTTCAAAACAGATGTTAAGGAAAAGTTCAATATTAACAATGTATTTTTATTTTTATTTTGTAGCTTGGATCATCCTCCTCTGTTCCTTTTACGTCTATATTCTCTCAGCTGTTTATGACTGTTGTAGTTCCTCTCATTATTGGACAGGTATGTCTTTTAAATATACATTTTTTTAAAAGACTAAGATAAAGAGGGTCGTCTTAAAGATAAACTGTCAACACAGTATGCTGCCATGTGGGACACAACCTCAGCGTAATGGAGTCCAAGATCACAGAGAAGATACTACAGTGCCCCCTGTAGCCACACTGATCTTTGTTGAGATTGAGCATCTGACCCTCACGGTCACAAACATGCACTATTGTGTATTGAGGAGTTTGTGAATATAAAATGCTGAAAAAAAAGCAGCCCAGATTGAGAAACTTGCAGCCCAAGGCAAAAATGAGCATTGAGAATATGAGTTCTTTTGTCCTATGCCCTTTACGTTATAAGATGGAACAAGTTCTACCTGTGTAATGGCTACTGCTAATTATATTAATTAAAAAATTCTATGTTAAAAGAACTTGAAGGTGATAAAGTCAGGCCCTCAAAAGTTAGAAAATGCCAGAATTAATGCTGCCTATGATCTTCTGTATACACAGTGTAATAAAAACTTTAATTGTGTGATCACATAAAAAAAATTTTCACAGAACCTCTGCCTCATTTAGAGTACATGATGGGTGGCTCAGTGAATGAGCATCTGTTCAATATTTCATTTACTATATCATTCAGTGTGAGGCCCTTCCCTTTTTTACAGCATACAGCTTACCCTTGGACTGAAAACAGAATTAATTTCCTCCTGGGCTTTTTTATTACACTTGTCACTGTAGTATCTGGGTGTTTCCCAAACATTAGTGAATATTTGAACAACCCTGTGAGCCAAGGAGATTTTATCTCCATTTTATAGGCAAGGAACTGAGGCACACAGATTTTTGAGTACCCAAATTGAGAGACCCACAGACAGGGAAACTGATAGACTTGCCAGGCCCCTGGGCAAAGTGTGTGGAGGGGCCAGCTCCGTGCTTTTGGAAGGGGTGGGATTGGGGCAACCAACCATCAGCACTGCCTGGAGTACACCCACTTTTCCCTCACCAGCCTTCAATGCTTCCCGGAGCATGCAGCACGGCACTTCAGTGGTGATTTAAAGGGCCCAGGGCTCCCAGCTACCACTGCCTTCTACAGAATTGCTGGACTCCAGGGCAATTGCCCCCTTTGCAGCCCTCAGTCAGTGGACCTACATATAGACTGATTTTTCAGAATACTTGCTATTTTTATAGCAATTTATGCATTGAAAGCACAACTCTCATTGACTTCAATTGCAGTTCTGACCACTTAGCCCTTTGCAAATCTGACAAATGATGCCTCATGGTAGACACTCAGAAAGCAAAGAACATGCAACAACTGGCCATCTGTGGAAAAGTTTAATTCAAGTGACTTGTCCAGCATCACATGGGAATCTATGGCAAAAGCAAAGAGAATCCAGGGGTATTCAGCTGAATTACACATGAGAGTATCTCTTTGTTTTTCCTGCAGTCCGCTTCCTCTTTCACTCTACATTTTCCAATTTTAGCAATAAACATTGACAGGAGTCATATAGAAACCTTCCTACACAATTCTGATTCATTTCCTGAATACTGTGTATCCTGTTCATTGGCATCTTTGAATTTTTGAGCACTTAACTTTGCAGCCTTAGCTTTCTTTTAATATATACTTAATGTAATTTCCTATGTTTTCAAAAACAAACTGCAAAAAAAAAATCCATCACATGGAACCATGTTTCTGACCCTCACCTGGGTCATCAGCAGGGTTCAGATCCTTAGATCCACAACACGGAACTCAATCACTTGAGCTAACTGATTATCTGGTGGCAGCAGCAGGCAGTTATCCTCCATCTTGGATCTCACAGAAGAGCCACACTTTGCAAGTGGAATGCACAGCTATTTTCTAGCAATCCGAGGGCTGTTGAGACTCAGGAATCTGGGGATGAGTTCCAGGTATAGGAGGGGAGTGTGCTGTAGTGGTTATACCCTCTTCTGTCCCTACACTTCTAATCTTCAGCCTCTGTCTTCATTTTGGTTCTTGTACCCTCATCACCACCCTCTATACCACACTCCTTTGCATATTTGAATAAGCCTGCTTCCTCTTTTTCCTTCATATGTTCCTTGGGTTCTAGTTGGGAAGGAGAGGTGATTGAGAACATGAGAAGCAGTCTCTTTGCCTCTCGTTTCTGTTGTACAGCACCACAGCAGTCCCAGCAGTGCATGTGTAATCCAGTCAGCCTGCAGGAGTAGTATGTGAAAGGAGGGTGCAGATGGAATCTTTGAAGAATAACTTTTACAGCCCTAACAAACCTCTGCTGAGAAGGTGCCAAGTGTGATGTTTTTCGTATACTTATAACTTGGTCATATTTGAGCAGCCTTTCACTAAGACAGCGCAAGGCACACCCTAGACACCAGAGCATCCCTTCTGCCAAGTACCAAGGTCCTGCTCTAACATGTGGAGGCTTAACTAGAACTTCTCTCTGTATAATAAATAAACCTGACAAAAATAGCATGGCTTTCCCTAATTTCAGTCTCAGAAATGGCTCAACCATTTTGGTTGAAGTTTTCAAAAAAAATCCGCCTCAGGCAAACATGTGGCCTGTATCAACCCAAACAGTTAAAGTTTAGCAATGATAAAAGCAAATGAAAATGGGACCTTAGAAACTATTTTGCAACCTTAACTACAAGGGCTTGTCTATGTGGCCAATTACTGCCCAAGAAGCAAGATAGTGAATCCTGTAGCACATTAGCATACTGCACAGTAACATCCCATGTGGACACTGCTACAGCACAGTGAAAGTCCCAGAATGCAGCTCGGTATACTACTGCATGGAAGTGTAGTATGGCAAGTCATACTTTGGAGCTTCAAGTGTACTTAGCAGTGCTCATATGAGTTATTGCTATATGGCAAGCTGGCATTCTGTAGATTCATACGCTGGCTTGCTGCACAGTAACTTGCAATGTAGACAATGTAAATCATTTTACAAATATTAACTGAATTTTAAGGCTAGCATAGAGTACCCCGTAAAAGGTTCTAGGGAGGCATTCTGGTTTGATTAAAGTTAAGATCTTGTGGGTCTTGTATAGTAATAGTCGCTACTGGAGTCAATGAATACTGATCCCCTGCCATGTGACATAGATATAACTTTTTGTAACCCTGACCATATGGCATGTCAGAAGACAGGAAGTAGACTCCAGATTCAGGAAAATACATAAATACATACTTTAAGCATGAAACTCAAATCATTAAGGTCTATTAGGCTGCTTAAAGTTGAACAGATGCATCAATGTTTTTTCCAATGGGGCTATAAAGAGAAACCCTTATTACTAGCATTCCTGTGTCAGATCTTTATTACGTGTTGTTAGAATTAAATGAAAGCTTTCATAAAAACGGAACAACCAAAATCTTCAGTCCTTCAGGGACCCAGGAAAAAATGTAAAAAGGGTATTGCAATATTCCAGTGTGGTTGGAAGGAAGTATTTCACCAAAGCTAAATAGAATGAAGTCCTCCACAGCACTACATGTGGCAGGCTGAGACATTTTTGTAGGCATCTCTAGAGGATTGTTAAGTGTTAAACAGTCATTAAAATTTTCAAAACGACTTTGATCCATGCACAAATATTGCTCAGGAAAGATACATTGTTTTACAAGACACTGCCAGGTGAGATGATATATCCCAATAGCAATTAATTGAAGTTTTGTCAGACCGAAGAGATGAAGGCTATCCATTGGGAATGCTCTACCATTAGGTCTACTGTGTGCATACTGAGGATTGTTAGTAACTTTAGTTACTGATGTTAACTTAGCGAGTGTGTAGGGAGATACAGTCTAGGTAGCCAGGACCAGAAAATATACATAAGATTTTATAGCGCAATATCAACACTTTGAATTGCACCTAGAAATCAATATGAAACCAGTGCTAAGTGAAGTGCATCAGAAAGTTTCTCATGGAGCATTTTTCTATTGGAAAATGCCGATTCATCAAAATTGAAATATTGCGCGAGAGTGTAACAATCTCACCGGGCTTATTTGCAATGGAATTGCCTGCCAGGCAGGTTTCTGCTGGAAAACAGCCTCATTTCCTGCCAGCTCACCTGCTGGGCTTCAAAACTTGCAACCACCTCAGCAGCTCAGAGTATGTCTATACAGCCCATGGAAAAGAGTTCCCAGACTGATTTGAGAGATGCATTCCAGAATTCTAAAAATAGCAGTATGGACAGTGTTTTGAGATTGCAGGTTAGGCTGGAGCTTGAGTGACTTAGTGGGGCTCATGCTTAAAAACAGCTGTGTGGACAGCACTTTGAAGTTCTTTATAGATTCTGGTCAATATGCAAGTTCTAGCTCAGTCTAGGACTTGGACTCTGAAGCCTAAGAAACTAAGTTGAGTATGTCACTGGGAGGCTTGCTGGCACAAGCTGCAGACATATGCTTCCAGGGCTTCCGTGCTTCTGGCTCTGAGGCAGTCTGTAAGGTGGTCTGCCCTGAAATGGTGCTCTTAGGGCTTCCAGAATCCCTGAGTTTCATGACTCATTGCAGGGCATCATTGGAAATATTTTGAAAATATTTAAATGAAATGTCATATTGATTTTTTTCTAAATAACATTTTGAAATTCCTGTGGGGTGAGAGAATTTGACATTCCGCTTTTCATTCTGTTTTGAAACAATTGTTGTTTTTTAATTTTGGGAATTTCCTGTGGAATCAGAATTCTAGTTTTTATCCAGCTCTAATGTTAACTACTCAAGCTGTCTAATAATGCACTGGCTGTCCTGTAATTTTCAAGTGTTTTTCTAGTGTAAAATTACTGTACTACAGTCTGGAGGTCAAAGGAATGCATAACTCTGGGCAGTGAAAGTAGTGACAGATGACCATTTGGTGCACTGTGCATTGGAAACCTTTTGAAAGTTTTGGCCACAGCATACATAGGTTAACAAACAAGAGGATCACTAATAGCTACTTATTTTAAATAACAGAAATTGAGTCTGGATTTTAAAAATCTATTAAAGTTGTATATTGTTAAGAACATAACATTGAGCATATGGGTTTGGGAATTGTCATATTAGGGCATAGT